CGCCCACATGTAACAAGAATTTTGCAGAAAATACAGTAAGTTTTTGCTATTGTCAATTTAACCTGCATAAATATTAACCATGCATATTACTCAATATTTTTTGCAGATTAATAGTACGGATCTGCCCCAAATATCCAGTAGTCAGGATTCAACAATATGTCTATCACCAGCAATACCGGTATTGTTCATTGTCATATTTTTGTCTCCTTGTAATATCGTACTTATTAAATATCCCTAGAGCATTGGCGATGAACAAATTCCAGCTCAATTGTGGACATCAACCCTGGCCGAGTATCAAAGAAACCCATGCATCCTCACGGTAGCTAATGAATTTCGCGATAAAATGTTTGGGGACGACAGGTATAAAACTGTTGGTGGTAGACGACCTCCAAGGAAGCCGAAAGAAGAACCACTCAAACCCAGATTACCTAAGAGCACAAAAACTGAGGATTTGATTAGTAAATTTAGTCTTTCATACATACAACATTATAATTTCTATTTATAACTTTAATCATTATTTTTGATTGTGTACAGAGGCCGTGAAATGTGTTGTTGTAACGATACATGGAGAGAGTGCTTGGGACGATAAAACTATGGCAACCTCTATAAAAACAATGCTTACTACTAAGGCGTATCAAGAGAAGAAAAGGAAACTCGATGGTTCTGACAATTAGCAGAGTTTAACAATTACAGTAGTTCCAATGTTACTTTATTATATAATAATATGGAAATAATTATGATTCTGGGAATGAGCTTATCCTAATTATGGCTGGAATCAATTTTATATGACACCAATTGATTTAATGAATTACTTAAAATTTCTTACTTTATAATGTTCGTACTCAAAGTGGGAGATAACATAATAATTTATTATAATTATGTACATAATTAAGTTAATAAATTAGCAGCGTCAGTCTTAATGTTGACTACTGTATTTTTATTATAGCCGTTCGGCTTCAAATTCTGACATGCGAATGCATTGAAATACGTTTTTCTTGAACTAAAAGCTAGGAATTATTCTAAATCTCTGTTACTAATTATTTTGGAACGTCAAATAAGAATGCAATTTAAATAAAATGTACATCACTTCAAATTTCCTATAATTAGTCCGGCCAGAGGGAAAAATTTAAGGTTAAAAAATCTAACAATTCATGAATTAGCAATGACAAATTAGGTTAAACCTGGTTTAAAATTAGGAGAATTTTTATTTGATCATTTCATTGCAGGTGGAGGGGTATTTACGGAGGGGTATATACCTGATTTTTAGTTGAAGCTAATAAACTGCTTCCAAAAGTAATTTTGGAGTCGCAATATGACACTATTAATGGCTCAATTTATTATTTTCCGTAGAAAATTTCCCGGATTTCTTCCTTGAAATTACAATGAAAAGTAGGTTGCATGATACAATAGGAATTTTCTTTTAAAATGCAATACCTAAATTACATAATATATAATTTTGTACGTGCTTAAATTAATTTAATTTTGAGAGTTTTGGACAGGAATAATAAAAATTAATAGCTTTTCATGAACTTTGATAGTAAAATTAATAGTTGTTCATGAATTTTGATAATAAAATGAAATATTTGCTGAGTAAGGGGTCATTTTTTATGTCGGTAAAATATTTTGGTTACACATCTTAAGAAATTCATATCATGGAATTTTGGAGGGTAGATATTTATTCGTGGTAGTTATATTAATCATTAGTTTATAATGACAACTGTTATTTTGAAGTCTTTGATTTTTCTCATGTGAATACGTCAACGTACATATGTACAAATTTCAGCAAACAGTTATTTGATCGTAAGTCCCGTTGGCACAAATAGGCATAAGTTAAGTAGTTACACATATAGAGTGACTGAAGTACATTTCATGAAGTGTGCGAAATACGAGTCGGATTCAGAAATAGGTTTTCATGAACTGATTTATTACTCATGAATCCAGCCAAGTCAGGATGTCAGGATGTCGCCAAGAATTTAACCACCATATATACAGATAAAGTTGATTAATAAATAAATCTTTACAAATTATGTAGTGTGACATGGTGTGCTTCACGCTGTCGGAAAGCATCACTACATAAAGAAAATACTGCCGTATCATTAATCTTGAATAAAGTATATGGTTTGGTGATACTGTTTATTAGAACAAATTGGAGTAGGCTTAAGTCGGAACATGATAATCTATATCTTGACATTTCTGAAAAAAATCCAAAATTGTTTGTAAGTAGGATTAAAAGTGGGATTCACCTCTTGTTAAAATATGCACTTCTTTAGCTAACTTTAGAATCAAGTTGTAAATTGTATTTGAGAATTTCAAGAAAATTAGGTTGAACTTTTTAAAGGATTGAAAAACTATGTATATAAATTGCCTCATTGATATTTCGTTCCCATAAATCAATAACTTTTTCAAGTAAATTTGATCTTGCGGAGAATCTGAATGGATGGATACCTAATTTTGTGAAACGTGGAGATGGAAAACAGAGCTCATTTAATTGGCTCAAAAACATACTTAGGATTAGTACATGGTTAAACTTATTTTCACTAATTAGTAATTTCTGCATTGTTGAAATTACTCAAGAAAATTAATAATTTCCATGCAGATTATGTTATAATTTGTTCCTAATCAAATTCAGATGGGGTTACATACGTTTATGTATTTCTCAGGCATAGAACAATTATTTGTTCGGAATTTGATGCATTTCGCATATGTAAGTAAATGTACACATTTTATTACAAACAGTGAGAAAAGTGAGGTAGGACATTGAATACGTTATCTTTGTCTGCATATCGACAATACAATTTGCTGGAGTCAGCGAATGTTGGTTTAACTGATTCTGCTAAAATATCTTCTTTCGCACAATTCCCACATTCCTGAATTAATCACCGAAACTTACTATAATTTGTAGATACACATCGGGTACTACATTGTTGAAAGTTGATTTCACATGTATATTATAATTTTAAATAAATAAAGCGTGTGTATTTAATTCGCCCCGATGGTTTTTTTGCGCTCGAGCCCAAGATCTGAGACAAATTTAAACATAGATAACTTTCTAAACAGATAGTATGTTAACATTTTGTTGAACTTTTGACCTTGGATGGAACGAAGATAAGTGGCAATCATGAGCATCATAACATTCAGATATTTAAATATCCTGGAAAAGGAGAAATTTCAAGTAAAAAAATTGGATGCGAAAAACTGCATGCCAATGGATAAAAAATTGTCAAAGACAAAGACTTAAAGGAATTTGTTAAGACAAAAATTGATTTTCCTGAGATTTGCAACGTTTGTAGATTTACTTTTTCTGAGTCCAACGATACTTATCTTGCGTTTCTAGTCTGCCCCCTTGCGGAGTGGGAGGAGCTCAAAGTTGAAAAATCGCAACGTCTGCGATTTTTGGGGCATAGGCAGGTCAATATTCTTGAAAACGGTTTTCGCCAAAAATTTAGTAATTTTTTTGCCTACAACATTTTTTGAGCGTTTTTCGAAATTCCATAAAAAAATTAATGTTTCTAGACTTGGAAATTTTTTGGGATGGAAATTTCAAATTTTGAAAATTGCGAAATTGGTGCGAAATCACGGAAAATTACTCTAAACTAGTAAAAACGAAAATATTTCATATCTGGGGTCCATTTGGTCCGCTAAAAGTGAAAATATTACAGTTTGAAAATGTATGCAAACGACCATTTGCGCCATCTTCTGGACAAGTTTTTCAATGGAAAGCAACATGCAAGAGTCGGTGTGGCCGGTTAGGCCGGTGCACTTGAGACCAAAGAATATTATTGAGTTTTGGTTTGTCTGGTATACAGATGTTAACAAAGGAGGAGATTGAGAGTTAACACAGCTGGGGACCGACGAAAACTCAATAATATTCTTCTGTCTGAAACTAATCAGGGGGTGGTGCCAGACGAGACAAAGTATATATATTCTGAATCCCCTCCCAGAGACGTTTCCAACGATACCCCATTTATGGGGCTATGTGAGATTTGGCCTTGCGACCTTTGACATTGTTGCAAAAAATTGTGTGCACTTAGAAATAATTCAAAATTCTTCAGGAATCTGAAAATACAACTCATTTAGTTAATTTAGTACTAAAAATGATGAAAATCTATCCAGGATTGTTGAAATGCCAGCTATTGGAAAAATAAAAATGGGGTACATCAATTGAACTATGTATGTACGAGCATGTTTTTGATTTTTCCTGAAAAATTTATAGCGAACGGAACGGGAATTGATAATATATTATGCTTCAGCATATCGTCGCTGTTCGTGCAAAAGTTGTCGGATCAAAAACCAGGTGGAAACAAAAGTTGTCGGATGAAAATGCGGGAAAAGTGTGATACCATGTTATACTTATGAAGTCTCACTTCTCCCAAAAATTCATCCGACAACTTATGTTTGCAACTGGTTTTGAAGGCGACAACTTTTGTTTTCGGCTGGTTTTTGATCCGACAACTTTTGCACGAACAGCCACGATATGTTGGTGAATGTCCATGCCGAATTTCATGTGGAATGGACGAAATTTAAAATTTCACCTTTTATTATTTTTACACACATCCCTTGCGTAAAGTCCCATTGCGTGACGTCACCACCGGCGGAACTTTGGGAACGTTGGAACAAACCAAACAGTATAATTTTGATAATGCATTAACATTGCACATGTGCATCTTATGTTTTACGTTTATCCAGGAGCACGAGGGCTTCCATTTCTCGGAAATGTTGTCCAGCTCGATAGGAAGAATCCTTTCATGACATTTGTGAAGTGGGCCTAAGAATATGGGGATGTTTACTCTGTGAAAATGTTATATCAAAAGTAATTTTCTTTCAATCGTTTATTTCATACTTACAATGGTAGATACAATTAAGTTTACAAGAGTATAAAATCAACAAATCCTCAACTTTTCTCAATTTATTTTTACACAAGCAGATAAATTTTAAAATTTACATTACTAGCACACTAAATGCGTAATTATCGCAGAGTCGTCATCATCTCAGACCTGAAAATGATAGAGGAAATGTTTTCTCAAGAACCAGCCTTCGCAGGACGGATGAATCCTGCCGAGGGTGTTAATGATCCACTGGACAAATGCATGGTTATAAGGTATTTGTATAAGACTCTCAAATCTCGCTTATTAAGCACATCAACATTTCTAATATGCAAAATTTTTCCGAAATATGCTACATACAATTTCACAAAACCTTTGCTTTCAAACTAAAAAAATATGCGATTTTTGTTTGCAAATCTTCTCAGCAATTTCATTGTGGCGTGAGTATGCCCAAAAGTTTTGAGCAAAGGATACCGCACGGTCAACATGGCACAATCTCACTTAGATATTTTTACACCATTTTTTGATATGTTGTAGATCTTGAGTAGTAGAACTAAAGTTACATTACCCTCAAAGTCGAAATTGACGTTTTTGACCTTTTTTATGTAGGGAGATCCAAGATCACGGAGCCCCACAAGTGAGGTATCGTTCGAAAGGTCCCAACGAGAGGATTCAGAATATATATACTTTGTGGGGTCTGACACCACTCCCTGATTTTCCAGAGACCGAATAATATTTTTGAGTTTTTCCCCATCTACTGCTGATTTAGCTCCCAATATACTGCTGTGTTAAATTCTGGACAACTGAAAACTCCCATTTCCTCTCGACTTTTGGACCCCCGAAACAAGGTCAAGGAGGTCGATTTCGACTTTAAAGGTAACTTAACTTTTGTTCAGCCAATAAAGATCTACAACATATCAAAAAATGGCGAAAAAATATCTAAGGGACATTGTTCCATGTTGACCGTGCGGTGTCCTTTCGTAGAGTGAAATGGATGACGATGCTTATCACGAAATTATTTACAGTAGGGTTAAAAATTTCCAACTAATTTGTGTCGAAAATAATCCTCGTTTGACTTTTCAGGTGTCATTAATATGGAAGGTCGACACTGGGAGCACCTCAGAAGATTCCACCATTGATGAAAAATTATATCACAATTATGTATATCTTTTGTCTGCCAATTCTGCACCATTGGTGCAAAATCATTATTACAGGGTGAGCTATTTCTAACGTTACAACGGTTTATTTATTTATGTAAAATTAAAATCTACTCATTCTATAATCAGGTTGGCGGCTCAATGGGGAAAGGGACGGCCATCGGTGACACGGACTTTGACGTCGTCGTCTTCCTGAACGACCACGAACCTCCCTTTCGACAGCGCATCTTCGACAAAATGCTGGCAGCCCTGAAGACAGTGCGCGGGTATTCCTTCATCAAAAAGACGAGATATTCGATCAGGTTCAAAATCCGGATTAATCGACTCACCTTGGATTTTGACCTACTCCCGGCACAAAATCTATTGGATCATGCCAAGTATGAAAAAACAGTAGTAGAATTAATACACTCTTAAAAATAGTGTTACCTTTTTGAAAAGTCTTGTGGCCTCTGAATTCTAAAATAGATGTACACTACACTAAATCCAGACAAGATCTCGTTACTCTGGATTTAGTATCGTTTACACCTATTTTAGAATTCAGAGGGCACTTTACTAGTCGAAAGGGTAGCATTATTTCTAAGAATGTGGTCTTGTACTATAAATAGTACAAGTAAATAAAGTTTTTAGTAAATACAAGCAAATATTGATACACTCTTAAAAATAATGTTACCCTTTCGAAAAGCTACCATTTTCTACTTTAAGTTAAAAAATATTTAGTATTGTCAATAATGGTCGAGTATTTATTGCTACCAGTTTCAAACGCAAATATTTCAACCGACGAATTTACACTCTTAAAAATAGTGTGACCATTTTGATAAGTTTATGAAGGTTACATTCTAGCGTAAACTTTACTCTTTAACTCTTTATCAAATTAACGTTACTCTGGATTTAGTGTAGTTTGCGTGAAATTTATTACCAAAAGTGTTACATTACTTTTAAGAGTGTATTTCTTTCCTATTCCAGGCACTCCAGCGACATGGCGAGACAACAGGCCGTCGAGGTGCGACATCGCATGGGAAATTTTGCCAGACCGTCCGTCTTCTCCACCAGCCTGGCCGAGCAGACGATCCTCTTCATGAAGAAGAAGCCGGACGATGTCGTCAAAGTCATCAAACTTGCGCGCCACTGGAATCAACAAATCCGAATTGATGAAAAAGTCCATGGGCGGAGCTACATGGTTGAACTCGTGGCCGCATGGGCGCAAAAGGACCAACCGGTTGGCAGCCTGTTTGAGAGGTTTGTACGTTTCTTGCGCGAAATGGAGGTAATTTTTTAAACAATAAGAATCAAACGAATTGCGAATTACGATCCATACCTGTTCAAAAAACATTTCTTCATTCAATCTAAAAATTGGAAAAATTCTTCATTTTTTCAAAATGAATACTTATTCATTATATCTCAAACCCGCCTTATTACATGGATTTTTTTATGTAAAGCAATTCATCGAAAATGAATAAAATTATTCATGAATTTGAAATGAATTAATATTTACTCAATATTCATTCATAAAAAAATTTTGAACAAATTATTCACTCATTATTCATAAATTCATTGAGCAATGAATGAATAATTTATGCACTAAATGGATTTTAACAGTTAATATGCATGCAAATTAATCAAAACTTTATTACTTTGTCCAACAATTTACTGAATTTTACCAATTTTTGTAGGATTTCTCCAACCTGCGCATATTTTTCGGTCATCATTATTGCAAATTCTCCATCCCTGAGGACGTCTGGAAGCAGACCCCACTGGTGATGGATCCCTGCAACCCGTACAACAATCTGGCCGAGGGCATCACCCCCGACGTGATTGAAAATTTCCAATCTGCCGCCACCCGGAGTTTGGCCATGATTAAGAATGGGTTGAAAGACGTGGAGGACTTATTTTTCGCCACTGACGAGTCTGACGACGATCAAGAAGAAAAATATGACAACGACGACGTCGGCAAGTTTGACGACAAACACGGCTTTTTTGACGGCTTAAAGCGCGAGTATGAATGTTTAATGCCGGGCGGACGTTACAATTACTAATTAAGTTGCTTGAACAATTGGCACGTGCAAATTCTAATCAGACTCGATGACAAAAAATAAATTGTTTTCTACTTAAAATTATCGAAAGGTTGACAAATATTTGATATTAGCGATATTAATTTATTGTAATAAATTTTTATTGCAAGTATTTATTTAAATCGAAGAAGAATTTATGCAACGAGCTTGTTTTATTATTAAAACTTTGCATAACTGAGTTGTTTTAAGAGGTACTTGTTTTGGCGAGATAAATATTTATTCATAATTAGATCAATGACGAAATTAACTTTTCTTAATTAAAGAATGCGAAATTCATGAATGAGGATATGCAAATTGCAATGGCAGATCGTTATAATGAGGCATGAAGCACAAATCCATGCATAATTGCGGAATTGCAAATTTTCTGAATATGTTGATCATGAATGAATGAATTAATGTGATATGCTCACATTTTGTAAGTACATGCAGTGATCACATGCTTCTTCTTATCATGCATATTTATTACTTGTCTGGACATTAAATAAGAATATTTTGACCTACCACAAATTCCATAAATGTTTATACATACAAGTAGAGCAGGGTTTTGAATGTTTCTTTTCATTCACATTTTTGGTCTTGTCGGGGCCGGCGATAAAATTCATTCACTTATAAATTTCCGATACCGGATAAAAAATAAAATTCTGAAAGTCTCTATTCTGCTAAAATCCTTCATTTGTTCCAAAAGACGTATAAATAGAGTTTATGCAAAATAATATCAGAATGGCGAGGATGCCAGTGTATTACGGAGTTTTTGCACTGATTTGTGCATTTCTTACCCCAGTGATTTCCCATCCGGTGAAAACAGGAGCATTGCTGGTATGTTTTTTGCAATATTGTTTTGCAATATTTGCAATATTTTTTGCAATAAGTATCATTGTGGTCAAAGCATAACTGTTTACACAGAGTTATTTAACACAGAATGAAAGCATTATTCACTAATTATTAAACAAATTCATACATATTTTTTTCAAAATTGAATAAATATTTATTCATTTCATATTCATGACTCATGAATCATGAGGAATGAACGAATAATTTTATTCATTTATTTTCCGCTATGCCTATTATACGGGGTGCATTGAGAAATCCATCTAACAACGGGAATTTGAGACAAGATGAATAAAAAATGAGTAATGAATAAATATTCACTTTCAAATTTTGAATAAATTAATAATGTGTGAATAAAGGATGATTTTTTCTTATTTATTGTCTGAATGAATTTTGAATGAAGAAGCATTTTCTGAACAGGTATCGCTAAAAGTATGCATTTCTTATTGTATTTCAGACCGACACAACTTTTAAAATCGTTCATAATCCTCCTCAACAAGAACACGCATCTCTTGTACGTAACAAATATTATTTTTAAAAGTGTAAATAATTTGCATTAACGTTATTTTATGTATCTGGAAGAACCCAGTAATTCAGAGACAAAATGAGGATCAAATCGTCGAAGAAGCAGTTCCTCGACCAGGAAGGCAATCACAATCTTCAAAAGTCAAGGGGGTCCCCCTACTCAACGGAAACAGTCTTGCTTTCCCCCATAAAGGAAACATTCTCATTAAGACGCCACACGACGTATGAATACACTCTTAAAAATAATGTCATCCTTTTCAGCTGTAAACGCATTCTAAATGAATTCTAAATGAAATGAATTAAACTAAATCCAAAGCAATTTACTATAGTAAATAAATACTATAGAAAGTATACTTACAATGGAGGTCTCCCAACGTGTTCTCTCCGATTTGGACGAAACCAGTGTCAATCGATCCCAAATTTAATTAGTATGAAATTTGCAAATGCAACTGTCCGCCAATGCGCAGGTTTGGCGGAGATATTTGCGTAAAAAGAGGAAAAAACTGGCCCCAAAGGCAACAAATTTTACACGTTTGCATTACAAATTTGTGCGTTTTCTCATTTCTTTATGCAAATATCTCTGCCAAACCTGCGTCTTAGGGGATAGTTGCATTTGCAAATTTCATACCAATTAAATTTGGGATCGATTGACAAATCCAAATCTGTGGGCATATGTTGGGAGACCTCCATTGTTAGTAATCAAGTCAAGATAACTCTGGACCGGATTTCGTACAGTTTACATAATTTAGAATTCACAGTGCATTTACTGCTCAAAAGGGCAACATTATTTTTAAGAGTGTGACTTTAATTTATACAAATTTATTCACAGGTCTCCATCGACTTGTCTCGTACTGGTGATTCTTACGTGTCCATTCCGAATGGCCCCTAAGGGGTCGCTTCTGAACTTATGACGTCTTTTAGCAGCATGAAATACGTAATATTATCTTGTATGTGCAAATAGTGTGAAAATTCTGGTATTAAAACAATCCGAGTTAACTTAGGCGAGATAAAGTTAATGTAGAATAAAATTCGTTTTAATTAAAATTATTTTAACTTGCCCGAAACAAAAAACCCTTCAAAAAAATTATGAAATCTAACTTTCAATTCATAATATTCATACATCTTCAAAAGCCAGTATGGATCACTAATGCTTTACAGTTTTTATTTATTTCCAAAAAAAAACTTCTTGTATTCCTTCACAATCAAGGTATGAATTTCTAGTGGTTCTGTTCTTACATAAAACACTAAATCACAACCATTAATTATTTTTGAACACTCTCAATAAATTTATTAAAAGTTTATCTCGGGCGAAGGTACTATGCGTTTCTACCGCTTAGGTAATAACTTACCTCCTACGGGTAACATATGTACAGAGGCTAAATACTGGCCAGGCCCCTTTGTCACCGCTGGGAAATAAAAACAGGGGATAAGTTGTTACTTCTCGTTGATAAACTGTTACTAAAATGTTACCACGCGGTAGTGACGCATATTACCTCCGCCGGAGATAAACTTTTAATAAATTTATTGAGAGTGAAGAATATAAAATTAATTTGCAGCAGAAAATAACTTTTGCACGTGAAAAAAGTTGGTTGATTTTTTAATTTTTTAATTGTGGGGGTGGATTTTATTAACTCTGGTACATAAGACCAGGTTCGGCCTAGTAAATTAAAGCCATCACTTACGTAGTCCATAAGCTTCCCGTGTTGCTTTTCATGCCATGCGACATGAAAATAAGAATGACATTTTTAACTTAATTTATGTATGGATACAGATATTTAATTAAAATAAGGAATTGTACACTTATTTAAACGTATTTATGTAAAGTATGTATCAGTGCTGTAGTGGGTTGAAAAGCCCAGCAGTATGCATATTGTCCCCTAAAAAATAAAAAAAGTTCTATCTCCTCGATTCCAGGGGTTTTTCCCTGCCATCCCGTAGTATAATCTTAAACTTAATGTCCCATCACCATACCATCACTCATACCCTCACACTGTGTATTATTAAACTTTACAAGAAATTGCTACACTGCAACAAATTGCATTTTATATTGGGTCCAATCCAGCCAAAACTTTTCCATCTGGGCCACATCCACAAGAGAATTAAATAAATTCATCCGCAAATTAATTTCGGTAATTGGTAAGCATTTGCACCATAAAATACCCAATTATGCATTAAATATAACATATATTTTTTCAGAATAAGATAAAATGGACCCCATGCTCATAATTTTGATCGTGTATTCGATTTTCTTGGTATTCTTTGGGATTTGGAGTTTTATCGAAATGGCGAAAGATAAGAGAGCAACGGTCAATTCCGATTGGCGAACTTCGGAGTGTAAATTGCACACTTTGGAACTTCTCGGAGGATGGTTTGGATCCCTCGTGGCGCAAGTTTGTTTCAAACACAAGGTTAAGAAATGTTCTTATCAGGTTAAATTCTGGCTTATCGTAATGGCTCATGTGGTCGGGAATTTTTATGTGTTTGGGAAGAGAGAGGAAATTAGGAGTTATCTTACTAATTGATAATAAAAGAATTAAAGTGAGTTTTTTTCAATTGTTTAATTAAAATTTAAATACAGTGTCGGACAGATGTCTACGTCCACATAGTCGCGTCAATTTCATTTTCAAATTGTCACTGAACTACTGAACCAATTTTCATCATTGATATATCAAATTCTCACAAATTTAACGTAATTTCATAGCACATTATTAGTTTTCCGCTAAAAAATTTATTTTAGGCCAGAGATGTATTTTAATTCAAAATGAAAACAATTGGATGGACAAAAGTCAACGTCCAGTCAGAGAAAACATACAAAAAAAACTGTAATTTATAAGGAATGTTATAACAATTAATTTTTAATATTTGGTTGGGCCTCCGTTCGCTTTAAGGACGGATTCAAGGCGTCGAGTCATAGAGTTTACCAAATTCTTGGTCACATCTTCAGAAATGGTTTCCCAAACTTCAAGAATTCTGGATTTTAGGCCCGGAATTCCTGAAAAAGATTGTTTTCTTATTTCTCTTTCAATGTGGTCCCACAGATGCTCAATGGGATTCAAGTCTGGAGATTGGGGAGGCCATTCTAGCTTCGAAATTTTTTTTTCTTGAAGTATTCCATGGTGGACTTGGCAGAGTGTTTCGGATCGTTGTCTTGTTGGAAGACAAATCGTCGTCCAAGTCCAAGTTTTCGAACAGATTCCTGGATATTACGGTCAAGTATTCCCTGGTACTTGTATTGGTCCATAATTCCGTCAACAAATTCCATTTTTCCTGCCCCACTTGAAGCCATGCATCCCCACACCATTACCGACCCGCCGCCGTGCTTAACTGTGGGGTTGAGATTTTTTGGATTCAATGCTTCTTTTGGATATCTCCACACTCTACGACGCCCATCTGACCCAAAGACATTGAACTTTGACTCGTCAGTCCATAAAATACTGTCCCAGAATGTTTGTGGCTTGGAAATGTGGTCTCTGGCAAACTTCACTCGTTTGGTTGCATTCCTCGGTACAATAAGAGGCTTCCGGACTGCTCTGTGGGATTTCAAATTTCCCTTGTTCAGTGTTCTTTGGATGGTCCTAGGACTAACTTGTTTGTCGAACATCTCCTTGATCTCGGTAGATAGCTTTGGAGCACTAAGTGAGGGTGTAACGTTGACTTTGTTGAGCACGTGGCGTACTTCTCGGTGAGCCAAAATCGGTTTTCGACCACTTTTGACCTTGTTTTGGACTGAACCATTAGCTCTAAAGTTCTTAATGATTGTCTGGATGGTTGTCCTTGCTAATTTATACTTGGTCCCTATTTGTCTCTGCGACAGCCCCCCTTTTTGTCCACCCTTCCAGTCCTGAATGACAAGATCTCGAATAGCGATAGGAATTTCCTTGCGTGTCGACGCCATCATATTTTTCTGGAAGAAAATTATTTAAAAATTAATGCGGCATATGTTATTGATAGATTTATTAAGTTACCTGATTTTATAAATTGGAGAGATTTTTGTTGTTGACAATTAAAGTGAAGTGGACGTAGACTTTTGTCCGCTCAAATTTCATCCTCTCTCGCTCTGCACTATGATTCTCAGTTTTCCCAGAATTTTCAGAAATAACTCATATGTTTTATGAAATTACGTTAAATTTGTGAGAATTAGATATATCAATGATGAAAATTGGTTCAGTAGTTCAGTGACAATTTGAAAATGAAATTGACGCGACTATGTGGACGTAGAGATCTGTCCGACACTGTACTCACTTGTAATACTGAATTATTATGTAATAAATAAATACTCTATAATTAATTTGTGCAGTTAAGTATTTCAATTAGTGAGATACGAATTTTTTCAATGTTTTTTAATAATTAATGGTACTTAATTAACACAAATGATTTTATAAAGATGATTGTTCGATATGTACAAATACTAATTATTTAAAAAACACGCAAGACATGCATAAATAGAAAATTTTTACATGTACAAATTTTACAATACAGTTGGTAAAAAAATTGTCAATTTAACACATACATTGTTTTGGTTTCACTTTTCAAAAATTTATAATTACGATAAAACTTCGAGCTCGTTAATTGAAACAGGGACACCATTTAGGAGGAAAAATTGAAAAGATATAAAGTACAAATTTGAAACAAATGAAAAACTTCAGCGGTAATAATCATTATTCTAAAAGGGTCGTAATCGTTTTAATTATTTAGATTTTCCTTCAGGTGGTTTGGCTTTTTGGCACAAATACTTCGATATAAATAGTGAAAAAATTACTGGGGAAATTGTTTTGTAAATACAAATTTTGATAACTTTTACAATAGTACGGTCAATACGGAATTAATTAGTTTGCAAAATTGTAACCCAATAACCCTCTAATTGCACAGAAGACAAATGATAATTGATTGGTTATGATCCACATTTAAGTATGGATGATGTCTGGTATATATAGAGATATTTTATCTGTAACGTTAATGATTTTAAATTAAATTTGTAAAATTAAAATTAATGATTTTTTTAAGAATTGTAACTACTGAGACGCCGTTTTTGAGAATTGTTCAAATTTAATAATAATCTACCAAAACTAGGTATAGTTTTCCAGTTTGAATATTAATTAAACAATATAGTAGAAATAACGCATCGTTTCTTGCACTGAAAAGCAATGCAAGGTGCAAGAAAGGCAAGAAATAGGGCGTCATCTAGCGGCGCGCCATAAGCAATATAGTGGCTGCAAGGAATTTCTTGCGGTTTTTTTCTTTCTGCATTCTTGCAGGTAATAATAGTTGCAAGAAACCAGTTTCTTGCGATTAATTCTTGCAGCTGGTTACTTGCACCCGAAACACTACCATGTAATATGCGAAATTCTAATTTTTGATGCTAATTATAATAAGTGTCACAATTATAAGATACCAAACGAGACTCCTATGTTGATTATAGAGTATAGATTATCATTGTGGTAACTTTATGGGCGATACGCCCGAAAAAGTTCAGTAATAAATCAAATACATACATACATACATGCATACATATATACACTACCAAGTAGAAAAGTCGCCACGAGCATCCGATGTATTATTTATATACGTGATATACTGGGGGACCTCAGACATCGCTTAAAAATTTCGCTTGCGTTAACTACGGTGCGTATGAGACAGCCAATCAAAGCGATTGATTTTAAGCGAACCCAAGTTCTTGCAAGCGACGGCTCACTGAGCCGTCGCTCTGAGCCGGGCTCAGAGTAGGGTTAAAGTCGCTTATTTCTAGGTTAGTTGATTATAAGTACGCATTCAAAATTCCCGCAGTGTGTCATGTTCCCCAGCTTAAGTAAACACAATTTTTAAGTAAATGGACTTCAGGAAGGTTTCTTTCGCTTGTTCGCTTAATCGAGCGAAATTTCTAAGCGAGCGCAGTAAGTGAAATTTTTTAGCGATGTCTGAGGTTCCCCACTATATAATATTCAAGTTTGGTCATATCATGTTTTCTAACTATTTGCATTCAACAAATTAATAAAAAGGTCCAAGTGCCTTGAAATTTACATTAAATTTTTGTGACGAGTAATTTTGATGTCACAGTTCAGCTTCACTTTCATACAATCAAATACATATATAGATAAAATAATACTGGTAATCTCTATTTTGAAACCTATAAATAACGCGTAATTAATCTCAAATTCTTAATAAATCTCTAAATTGGCTTCGAATTGGTAAAAATGATTTTTTAATTTTTGAAAAAACATTTTTAAAGTATTACGAGTATTTGCGATCTTTAAGATCCCTGGGAGAGAGAAGATAAACATAATTAGAAAGGAAATTTAATTTCCTTGAAAGAAATTTAATTTTTTTAAAGTTTTCGATTCTCGTCTCAAAAGACTCATTCTGCCCTTCTATCATCCCAACCATCAAGTTTGAATAAGACTTCTGGATTTTGAAAAAAATCCATGAAGCATTTCGACGTCATTTTATAAATGGAAGGACGAGAAAAAACAGTAGTAGAATTAATACACTCTTAAAAATAGTGTTACCTTTTTGAAAAGTCTTGTGGCCTCTGAATTCTAAAATAGATGTACACTACACTAAATCCAGACAAGATCTCGTTACTCTGGATTTAGTATCGTTTACACCTATTTTAGAATTCAGAGGGCACTTTACTAGTCGAAAGGGTAGCATTATTTCTAAGAATGTGGTCTTGTACTATAAATAGTACAAGTAAATAAAGTTTTTAGTAAATACAAGCAAATATTGATACACTCTTAAAAATAATGTTACCCTTTCGAAAAGCTACCATTTTCTACTTTAAGTTAAAAAATATTTAGTATTGTCAATAATGGTCGAGTATTTATTGCTACCAGTTTCAAACGCAAATATTTCAACCGACGAATTTACACTCTTAAAAATAGTGTGACCATTTTGATAAGTTTATGAAGGTTACATTCTAGCGTAAACTTTACTCTTTAACTCTTTATCAAATTAACGTTACTCTGGATTTAGTGTAGTTTGCGTGAAATTTATTACCAAAAGTGTTACATTACTTTTAAGAGTGTATTTCTTTCCTATTCCAGGCACTCCAGCGACATGGCGAGACAACAGGCCGTCGAGGTGCGACATCGCATGGGAAATTTTGCCAGACCGTCCGTCTTCTCCACCAGCCTGGCCGAGCAGACGATCCTCTTCATGAAGAAGAAGCCGGACGATGTCGTCAAAGTCATCAAACTTGCGCGCCACTGGAATCAACAAATCCGAATTGATGAAAAAGTCCATGGGCGGAGCTACATGGTTGAACTCGTGGCCGCATGGGCGCAAAAGGACCAACCGGTTGGCAGCCTGTTTGAGAGGTTTGTACGTTTCTTGCGCGAAATGGAGGTAATTTTTTAAACAATAAGAATCAAACGAATTGCGAATTACGATCCATACCTGTTCAAAAAACATTTCTTCATTCAATCTAAAAATTGGAAAAATTCTTCATTTTTTCAAAATGAATACTTATTCATTATATCTCAAACCCGCCTTATTACATGGATTTTTTTATGTAAAGCAATTCATCGAAAATGAATAAAATTATTCATGAATTTGAAATGAATTAATATTTACTCAATATTCATTCATAAAAAAATTTTGAACAAATTATTCACTCATTATTCATAAATTCATTGAGCAATGAATGAATAATTTATGCACTAAATGGATTTTAACAGTTAATATGCATGCAAATTAATCAAAACTTTATTACTTTGTCCAACAATTTACTGAATTTTACCAATTTTTGTAGGATTTCTCCAACCTGCGCATATTTTTCGGTCATCATTATTGCAAATTCTCCATCCCTGAGGACGTCTGGAAGCAGACCCCACTGGTGATGGATCCCTGCAACCCGTACAACAATCTGGCCGAGGGCATCACCCCCGACGTGATTGAAAATTTCCAATCTGCCGCCACCCGGAGTTTGGCCATGATTAAGAATGGGTTGAAAGACGTGGAGGACTTATTTTTCGCCACTGACGAGTCTGACGACGATCAAGAAGAAAAATATGACAACGACGACGTCGGCAAGTTTGACGACAAACACGGCTTTTTTGACGGCTTAAAGCGCGAGTATGAATGTTTAATGCCGGGCGGACGTTACAATTACTAATTAAGTTGCTTGAACAATTGGCACGTGCAAATTCTAATCAGACTCGATGACAAAAAATAAATTGTTTTCTACTTAAAATTATCGAAAGGTTGACAAATATTTGATATTAGCGATATTAATTTATTGTAATAAATTTTTATTGCAAGTATTTATTTAAATCGAAGAAGAATTTATGCAACGAGCTTGTTTTATTATTAAAACTTTGCATAACTGAGTTGTTTTAAGAGGTACTTGTTTTGGCGAGATAAATATTTATTCATAATTAGATCAATGACGAAATTAACTTTTCTTAATTAAAGAATGCGAAATTCATGAATGAGGATATGCAAATTGCAATGGCAGATCGTTATAATGAGGCATGAAGCACAAATCCATGCATAATTGCGGAATTGCAAATTTTCTGAATATGTTGATCATGAATGAATGAATTAATGTGATATGCTCACATTTTGTAAGTACATGCAGTGATCACATGCTTCTTCTTATCATGCATATTTATTACTTGTCTGGACATTAAATAAGAATATTTTGACCTACCACAAATTCCATAAATGTTTATACATACAAGTAGAGCAGGGTTTTGAATGTTTCTTTTCATTCACATTTTTGGTCTTGTCGGGGCCGGCGATAAAATTCATTCACTTATAAATTTCCGATACCGGATAAAAAATAAAATTCTGAAAGTCTCTATTCTGCTAAAATCCTTCATTTGTTCCAAAAGACGTATAAATAGAGTTTATGCAAAATAATATCAGAATGGCGAGGATGCCAGTGTATTACGGAGTTTTTGCACTGATTTGTGCATTTCTTACCCCAGTGATTTCCCATCCGGTGAAAACAGGAGCATTGCTGGTATGTTTTTTGCAATATTGTTTTGCAATATTTGCAATATTTTTTGCAATAAGTATCATTGTGGTCAAAGCATAACTGTTTACACAGAGTTATTTAACACAGAATGAAAGCATTATTCACTAATTATTAAACAAATTCATACATATTTTTTTCAAAATTGAATAAATATTTATTCATTTCATATTCATGACTCATGAATCATGAGGAATGAACGAATAATTTTATTCATTTATTTTCCGCTATGCCTATTATACGGGGTGCATTGAGAAATCCATCTAACAACGGGAATTTGAGACAAGATGAATAAAAAATGAGTAATGAATAAATATTCACTTTCAAATTTTGAATAAATTAATAATGTGTGAATAAAGGATGATTTTTTCTTATTTATTGTCTGAATGAATTTTGAATGAAGAAGCATTTTCTGAACAGGTATCGCTAAAAGTATGCATTTCTTATTGTATTTCAGACCGACACAACTTTTAAAATCGTTCATAATCCTCCTCAACAAGAACACGCATCTCTTGTACGTAACAAATATTATTTTTAAAAGTGTAAATAATTTGCATTAACGTTATTTTATGTATCTGGAAGAACCCAGTAATTCAGAGACAAAATGAGGATCAAATCGTCGAAGAAGCAGTTCCTCGACCAGGAAGGCAATCACAATCTTCAAAAGTCAAGGGGGTCCCCCTACTCAACGGAAACAGTCTTGCTTTCCCCCATAAAGGAAACATTCTCATTAAGACGCCACACGACGTATGAATACACTCTTAAAAATAATGTCATCCTTTTCAGCTGTAAACGCATTCTAAATGAATTCTAAATGAAATGAATTAAACTAAATCCAAAGCAATTTACTATAGTAAATAAATACTATAGAAAGTATACTTACAATGGAGGTCTCCCAACGTGTTCTCTCCGATTTGGACGAAACCAGTGTCAATCGATCCCAAATTTAATTAGTATGAAATTTGCAAATGCAACTGTCCGCCAATGCGCAGGTTTGGCGGAGATATTTGCGTAAAAAGAGGAAAAAACTGGCCCCAAAGGCAACAAATTTTACACGTTTGCATTACAAATTTGTGCGTTTTCTCATTTCTTTATGCAAATATCTCTGCCAAACCTGCGTCTTAGGGGATAGTTGCATTTGCAAATTTCATACCAATTAAATTTGGGATCGATTGACAAATCCAAATCTGTGGGCATATGTTGGGAGACCTCCATTGTTAGTAATCAAGTCAAGATAACTCTGGACCGGATTTCGTACAGTTTACATAATTTAGAATTCACAGTGCATTTACTGCTCAAAAGGGCAACATTATTTTTAAGAGTGTGACTTTAATTTATACAAATTTATTCACAGGTCTCCATCGACTTGTCTCGTACTGGTGATTCTTACGTGTCCATTCCGAATGGCCCCTAAGGGGTCGCTTCTGAACTTATGACGTCTTTTAGCAGCATGAAATACGTAATATTATCTTGTATGTGCAAATAGTGTGAAAATTCTGGTATTAAAACAATCCGAGTTAACTTAGGCGAGATAAAGTTAATGTAGAATAAAATTCGTTTTAATTAAAATTATTTTAACTTGCCCGAAACAAAAAACCCTTCAAAAAAATTATGAAATCTAACTTTCAATTCATAATATTCATACATCTTCAAAAGCCAGTATGGATCACTAATGCTTTACAGTTTTTATTTATTTCCAAAAAAAAACTTCTTGTATTCCTTCACAATCAAGGTATGAATTTCTAGTGGTTCTGTTCTTACATAAAACACTAAATCACAACCATTAATTATTTTTGAACACTCTCAATAAATTTATTAAAAGTTTATCTCGGGCGAAGGTACTATGCGTTTCTACCGCTTAGGTAATAACTTACCTCCTACGGGTAACATATGTACAGAGGCTAAATACTGGCCAGGCCCCTTTGTCACCGCTGGGAAATAAAAACAGGGGATAAGTTGTTACTTCTCGTTGATAAACTGTTACTAAAATGTTACCACGCGGTAGTGACGCATATTACCTCCGCCGGAGATAAACTTTTAATAAATTTATTGAGAGTGAAGAATATAAAATTAATTTGCAGCAGAAAATAACTTTTGCACGTGAAAAAAGTTGGTTGATTTTTTAATTTTTTAATTGTGGGGGTGGATTTTATTAACTCTGGTACATAAGACCAGGTTCGGCCTAGTAAATTAAAGCCATCACTTACGTAGTCCATAAGCTTCCCGTGTTGCTTTTCATGCCATGCGACATGAAAATAAGAATGACATTTTTAACTTAATTTATGTATGGATACAGATATTTAATTAAAATAAGGAATTGTACACTTATTTAAACGTATTTATGTAAAGTATGTATCAGTGCTGTAGTGGGTTGAAAAGCCCAGCAGTATGCATATTGTCCCCTAAAAAATAAAAAAAGTTCTATCTCCTCGATTCCAGGGGTTTTTCCCTGCCATCCCGTAGTATAATCTTAAACTTAATGTCCCATCACCATACCATCACTCATACCCTCACACTGTGTATTATTAAACTTTACAAGAAATTGCTACACTGCAACAAATTGCATTTTATATTGGGTCCAATCCAGCCAAAACTTTTCCATCTGGGCCACATCCACAAGAGAATTAAATAAATTCATCCGCAAATTAATTTCGGTAATTGGTAAGCATTTGCACCATAAAATACCCAATTATGCATTAAATATAACATATATTTTTTCAGAATAAGATAAAATGGACCCCATGCTCATAATTTTGATCGTGTATTCGATTTTCTTGGTATTCTTTGGGATTTGGAGTTTTATCGAAATGGCGAAAGATAAGAGAGCAACGGTCAATTCCGATTGGCGAACTTCGGAGTGTAAATTGCACACTTTGGAACTTCTCGGAGGATGGTTTGGATCCCTCGTGGCGCAAGTTTGTTTCAAACACAAGGTTAAGAAATGTTCTTATCAGGTTAAATTCTGGCTTATCGTAATGGCTCATGTGGTCGGGAATTTTTATGTGTTTGGGAAGAGAGAGGAAATTAGGAGTTATCTTACTAATTGATAATAAAAGAATTAAAGTGAGTTTTTTTCAATTGTTTAATTAAAATTTAAATACAGTGTCGGACAGATGTCTACGTCCACATAGTCGCGTCAATTTCATTTTCAAATTGTCACTGAACTACTGAACCAATTTTCATCATTGATATATCAAATTCTCACAAATTTAACGTAATTTCATAGCACATTATTAGTTTTCCGCTAAAAAATTTATTTTAGGCCAGAGATGTATTTTAATTCAAAATGAAAACAATTGGATGGACAAAAGTCAACGTCCAGTCAGAGAAAACATACAAAAAAAACTGTAATTTATAAGGAATGTTATAACAATTAATTTTTAATATTTGGTTGGGCCTCCGTTCGCTTTAAGGACGGATTCAAGGCGTCGAGTCATAGAGTTTACCAAATTCTTGGTCACATCTTCAGAAATGGTTTCCCAAACTTCAAGAATTCTGGATTTTAGGCCCGGAATTCCTGAAAAAGATTGTTTTCTTATTTCTCTTTCAATGTGGTCCCACAGATGCTCAATGGGATTCAAGTCTGGAGATTGGGGAGGCCATTCTAGCTTCGAAATTTTTTTTTCTTGAAGTATTCCATGGTGGACTTGGCAGAGTGTTTCGGATCGTTGTCTTGTTGGAAGACAAATCGTCGTCCAAGTCCAAGTTTTCGAACAGATTCCTGGATATTACGGTCAAGTATTCCCTGGTACTTGTATTGGTCCATAATTCCGTCAACAAATTCCATTTTTCCTGCCCCACTTGAAGCCATGCATCCCCACACCATTACCGACCCGCCGCCGTGCTTAACTGTGGGGTTGAGATTTTTTGGATTCAATGCTTCTTTTGGATATCTCCACACTCTACGACGCCCATCTGACCCAAAGACATTGAACTTTGACTCGTCAGTCCATAAAATACTGTCCCAGAATGTTTGTGGCTTGGAAATGTGGTCTCTGGCAAACTTCACTCGTTTGGTTGCATTCCTCGGTACAATAAGAGGCTTCCGGACTGCTCTGTGGGATTTCAAATTTCCCTTGTTCAGTGTTCTTTGGATGGTCCTAGGACTAACTTGTTTGTCGAACATCTCCTTGATCTCGGTAGATAGCTTTGGAGCACTAAGTGAGGGTGTAACGTTGACTTTGTTGAGCACGTGGCGTACTTCTCGGTGAGCCAAAATCGGTTTTCGACCACTTTTGACCTTGTTTTGGACTGAACCATTAGCTCTAAAGTTCTTAATGATTGTCTGGATGGTTGTCCTTGCTAATTTATACTTGGTCCCTATTTGTCTCTGCGACAGCCCCCCTTTTTGTCCACCCTTCCAGTCCTGAATGACAAGATCTCGAATAGCGATAGGAATTTCCTTGCGTGTCGACGCCATCATATTTTTCTGGAAGAAAATTATTTAAAAATTAATGCGGCATATGTTATTGATAGATTTATTAAGTTACCTGATTTTATAAATTGGAGAGATTTTTGTTGTTGACAATTAAAGTGAAGTGGACGTAGACTTTTGTCCGCTCAAATTTCATCCTCTCTCGCTCTGCACTATGATTCTCAGTTTTCCCAGAATTTTCAGAAATAACTCATATGTTTTATGAAATTACGTTAAATTTGTGAGAATTAGATATATCAATGATGAAAATTGGTTCAGTAGTTCAGTGACAATTTGAAAATGAAATTGACGCGACTATGTGGACGTAGAGATCTGTCCGACACTGTACTCACTTGTAATACTGAATTATTATGTAATAAATAAATACTCTATAATTAATTTGTGCAGTTAAGTATTTCAATTAGTGAGATACGAATTTTTTCAATGTTTTTTAATAATTAATGGTACTTAATTAACACAAATGATTTTATAAAGATGATTGTTCGATATGTACAAATACTAATTATTTAAAAAACACGCAAGACATGCATAAATAGAAAATTTTTACATGTACAAATTTTACAATACAGTTGGTAAAAAAATTGTCAATTTAACACATACATTGTTTTGGTTTCACTTTTCAAAAATTTATAATTACGATAAAACTTCGAGCTCGTTAATTGAAACAGGGACACCATTTAGGAGGAAAAATTGAAAAGATATAAAGTACAAATTTGAAACAAATGAAAAACTTCAGCGGTAATAATCATTATTCTAAAAGGGTCGTAATCGTTTTAATTATTTAGATTTTCCTTCAGGTGGTTTGGCTTTTTGGCACAAATACTTCGATATAAATAGTGAAAAAATTACTGGGGAAATTGTTTTGTAAATACAAATTTTGATAACTTTTACAATAGTACGGTCAATACGGAATTAATTAGTTTGCAAAATTGTAACCCAATAACCCTCTAATTGCACAGAAGACAAATGATAATTGATTGGTTATGATCCACATTTAAGTATGGATGATGTCTGGTATATATAGAGATATTTTATCTGTAACGTTAATGATTTTAAATTAAATTTGTAAAATTAAAATTAATGATTTTTTTAAGAATTGTAACTACTGAGACGCCGTTTTTGAGAATTGTTCAAATTTAATAATAATCTACCAAAACTAGGTATAGTTTTCCAGTTTGAATATTAATTAAACAATATAGTAGAAATAACGCATCGTTTCTTGCACTGAAAAGCAATGCAAGGTGCAAGAAAGGCAAGAAATAGGGCGTCATCTAGCGGCGCGCCATAAGCAATATAGTGGCTGCAAGGAATTTCTTGCGGTTTTTTTCTTTCTGCATTCTTGCAGGTAATAATAGTTGCAAGAAACCAGTTTCTTGCGATTAATTCTTGCAGCTGGTTACTTGCACCCGAAACACTACCATGTAATATGCGAAATTCTAATTTTTGATGCTAATTATAATAAGTGTCACAATTATAAGATACCAAACGAGACTCCTATGTTGATTATAGAGTATAGATTATCATTGTGGTAACTTTATGGGCGATACGCCCGAAAAAGTTCAGTAATAAATCAAATACATACATACATACATGCATACATATATACACTACCAAGTAGAAAAGTCGCCACGAGCATCCGATGTATTATTTATATACGTGATATACTGGGGGACCTCAGACATCGCTTAAAAATTTCGCTTGCGTTAACTACGGTGCGTATGAGACAGCCAATCAAAGCGATTGATTTTAAGCGAACCCAAGTTCTTGCAAGCGACGGCTCACTGAGCCGTCGCTCTGAGCCGGGCTCAGAGTAGGGTTAAAGTCGCTTATTTCTAGGTTAGTTGATTATAAGTACGCATTCAAAATTCCCGCAGTGTGTCATGTTCCCCAGCTTAAGTAAACACAATTTTTAAGTAAATGGACTTCAGGAAGGTTTCTTTCGCTTGTTCGCTTAATCGAGCGAAATTTCTAAGCGAGCGCAGTAAGTGAAATTTTTTAGCGATGTCTGAGGTTCCCCACTATATAATATTCAAGTTTGGTCATATCATGTTTTCTAACTATTTGCATTCAACAAATTAATAAAAAGGTCCAAGTGCCTTGAAATTTACATTAAATTTTTGTGACGAGTAATTTTGATGTCACAGTTCAGCTTCACTTTCATACAATCAAATACATATATAGATAAAATAATACTGGTAATCTCTATTTTGAAACCTATAAATAACGCGTAATTAATCTCAAATTCTTAATAAATCTCTAAATTGGCTTCGAATTGGTAAAAATGATTTTTTAATTTTTGAAAAAACATTTTTAAAGTATTACGAGTATTTGCGATCTTTAAGATCCCTGGGAGAGAGAAGATAAACATAATTAGAAAGGAAATTTAATTTCCTTGAAAGAAATTTAATTTTTTTAAAGTTTTCGATTCTCGTCTCAAAAGACTCATTCTGCCCTTCTATCATCCCAACCATCAAGTTTGAATAAGACTTCTGGATTTTGAAAAAAATCCATGAAGCATTTCGACGTCATTTTATAAATGGAAGGACGAGTTATTTACATATGTTTAGGCAAAGATAAGTTGATTAATTTATAGAGTCTGTCAACGGTGCTCTGAATTTCAGAGTCTGAAATCGGCAATTTATTCCTAAAGTAGGTCCTACGGTAAGGGATAAATTTGTCCTAATTGGTAAAAAGTGGAGCGATTAGATCAATTTGGGAAATAATTTGCGACAAGCGTGTTGCCAATTAGGTTGGCGAATAAGTGGCGTCAGGAATTCCTTTGGGAGCAGAGATCATACCAATTTTGCAAGTGGGATACATCTTGTAAAATTTAATTAGGGAAGTTTCATGCCTATAATTATGCAAAAGGTTGTATATTTGGAAATTTTGTGCTTGAAAACTAAATTGTTCGAACAGATCATTTTGTCCTGGGTGTAAATCTTCAAATACTTTGAGCTAACGAGTTGACGAGTTGTTTGGAAAATTCGTCATTTTCAGTAGCATGTATTAAAATATGAACAAAAAATAAGCCATGTCACATAATTCCATTTCCTTTGTTAATACAGCGTCACAATATGACATTTGCACTTAATTTAATTTATGTATGGATATCAACACAAAATAAGGACTTGCGTATTGCTTTACACCACCACACTTATTTATTTAACGTATGTATCAGTGCTGCAATGGATTGAAAAGCACAGCAGTATGCATATTGTCCCCTAAAAAATAAAAAGGGTTCGATATCTTCTCCATGAACCTTCTTCATTCCATCCCGTAATATGCATAATCTTAAACTTAAAGTTGCATACCAAACCAAACCATACGCTCACACTGTATATTATGTTGTGGCATAAACTTTAGAAGAAATTTCTACACATTTTGCGTTGGGTACAATGCTTCCAAAACTTTCCCATCTGGTCCATATCCATAGCAAGAGAATTAAACGGTTTCAGCTTTAAATTAATTATAATTAATTCGTTTCGGTAATTGCAAAAAACTTGCAGTATAAAATTTCCATTTTGGACAATTCTTAAAGAATTTTTGTTTGCAGGAGAATTAACTTTTTCAAGAAAGAAATATAAAATGGACCCCATCCTCACAATTTCGATTGTCTATTCCGTTTTCTTCGTATTCTTTGGGATTTGGAGTTTTATCGAGATGGGAAAAGATAAGAGAGCGGCGAGGATACCGGATTCAGAGATTTCCTGGCTTCTGCATCCAAACGGAATAAGAACTTCGGAGTGCAAATTGCACACTTTGGAACTTCTCGGAGGATGGTTTGGATCCCTCATGGGGCAAATTTGTTTTAACCATAAGATCAAGAAATGTTCTTATCAGGTTAAGTTCTGGATTATCGTGATTGCTCATGTGGCCGGGATTTGGTGTGTGGTTGCGAAGAGGGAGGAAATTCGGAATCATTTTAATTATTAAATATAAAAGGGTTAAATTGTTTTTTTTTAATTTTTAGTTTGAACCTAAACACTCAACTGTAATAAATTATTGCGTAATAATTACTCAATAATTATTTCGGGTAATTATCTTAATTAATGAGATATTAACTTTTCAACCTTTTTTTTAATTTCATGTAAAAATTGTATTTAATTAACTACTGGCCCTTGATTTATTACTAAATTATGTATTCAATAATTAATTAACGAAATAATTAATGGTACTTAATTCACTTCATTAATTTCCCAATGATAATCAAATACTTATTTGCAAATGTCAATTATTTCTAAAAAAAATACAAGACGGGAATAAATAAAAATTGTCACATATTAACAACACGGTTAAAAAAGTTGGGAAATTTAATACCTAATTTGTTTTCATTGCTCAGATTGTACTGATTAATTAAATTTGTTGTTCGTTAATAGAAGGCGTAGACCTAGTGTGTAATTTTACACAATTTATGAATTTCGGCACCTGGATCTAAAGTGTTCTGATAATCAAACGCAATTCTGAACTTTTAGTAGCATGAAATACGTAATATTATCTTGTATGTGCACATAGTGTGAAAATTCTGCTATTAAAACAATCTACGCGTGATAAAATTAATAAAAAATAAAATTCGATTTAATAAAAATTATATTAACTTGTCGCAAACAAAAACGCTTCCGTAAATTTATCGCATCTGACTTTGAATGCAGAATATTCATACATCTTCAAAACCCATTACATGGTACATTAAAGTTTTACAACTTTATTAATTAAAAAAAACTTCTTCACAATAAAGTTTTACATTTCTACCGGTTCTATTCTTAAATGGAACACTCAATCTCCACCATTAATTATTTTTGAAGATTAATTTGCAGCAGCAAATGACTTTTGCAGGTGAAAAATGTTAGTTGATTTTTAAAATTTTTTATTGTGGGTTTTAGTGGTTTTATCAACGCTGGTACAGGATCGGGCTAGTAAACTAAAGCCATCACATAGTCAATAAGCTTCCGGTGTTGTTTTTCACGCCATGGGATATGAAACTAAGAATGGCATTTTTGACTTGAATCAATTTTCCAGGAAGTGTGGTCGCAAATCTGCAAGTTTTTAAATTTTCTCGGACCTGAGTTTCCAGAACCGCACACATTTTTGAAATCCTTCAAAAAAGGATAGATCATTAGCAATGCAATATTCACATTAAATATGAGAATCTGATGTGTTCACTTGATTCATTTTATGTATGGATATTTACCTAAAATATGGGCCAGTACATTTATTTACACCACTTCACTCAGAGAAATTGGGTGATGATTATCACCAGATTTAGACGTACATGACTCTATCGAAATGGTGATAAACTTCATCACAGATTGGTTATAGATTTGTAACCGAATGGTTACAAACATAGCCGCCTTGGCTTCAATTATAACCTATCTGGTTATTCTGATAACTAGTCGGTGGTAAATTAATTACCATAGCGGTAGAGTCATATATGTCTACCAATCTTAATAATATTTCTGTGAGTGTACATTTATTTATTTAACGTATGCATCAGTGTTACAGTGGGTCGAAAAGAACAGCAATAAACACGTTGTCCCCCTAAGAAATAAAAAGGGTTCTAAATATCTTCTCCATGAAGCCTCTTCATTCCATTACGTAATCTTCAACTTAAACTTCCATCCCCATACCGCAGAGTGTATATTATTATTGTAGCATAAACTTTACAAGGAATTACCGGGAATTAAGAAAAGTCTAATTTAAAAAATCGAGCATAAATAGGTGGTAAAGGTAAATACTGGGAAAAGTCGGTGATAAGAAATAATAAAAAATGATGCATATGTAGTGCAAAGATTTGGTTCGAAATACTTAAAAGGTTCATACAGAATCCGCGCGATCCCGTGACCAACTGTGCAAAGATTCACTGAGAAGTTTTTTTTTCGTTTTTTAAATTTAAAATTTATTTAAGATGGAATATCAATCTTTGGGCGCCTGTATTGGAGAAATAGCGGCAGAATATGGGGAAAGAGAGATGCTTCGAGCATTCCATGAAGGGAAGATTGAGGACGGCATCCCCGCCGCGATAGATGAGCTCTACTACGCGAACAAAACCGAGTGGGAGGAGACGAAACAAGCCTACTCCGAGTTACCGGACGAACTTTCCGTTAATAGGGAGGCCAACGAGGCCTGGGGCATTGTCGCGAGGGGAAAAGGGGAAAATCTACACTGCAAATAAAATTAGCACCATTTGTAGAGTCATATACGTTACGACTTTGGTAATGACGTTATACATATTGGTAGTTTTGTACTACAATTTGTTAAAAATTTAAATCGGATTTGGTGAAGATTACTACCAAATCTTTACCATATGTAGGACGCGTTTTTACCAAATTCTAGAGTCATATGCGTTACGAATTTGTAGGAAATTCTTTACCAGATTATTTGCAGTGTAGAGGTCGTGATGGACGCTGGCTTCCGGTTGGACGCCATGTTGGGGGGAGAGGACAAGGGGATGGTTTCTGCACGGTTCTGGGGCTGGTTCAAAAGGAACTGGAAAAAAATTGTGAAGGTTTTTATTATCGTGGTGCGAGGTTTTTTGAAATTATTGGCTGGGTGATTGTAAGAAATAAATTCCGAAGGATGATATCATTGCAATGAGAATAAATAATTACTTAGGAAAAAAATGACTTTTTGACCTTTCAAAAAAATTGGTTTGATACGGTTGATTTGATTTATTCAAAGATTGATCTACCAGTAGACTTTACAACCATGATTCATTCATTTCAACAAAATACTTCTCACTGAGAATTATTTTGTATACTGAGAATTTCTCAGTATACATACGTAATGTGATCTTATAATATACAAATCAATCAAATTAGTCCCTGACTGAATTATTAATTGCATATAGGGTACGGAAGTGAAAGATGAAAAAGGTATGTGTTCTTAAATTTTTCATTATGCGAAATTGATTTATTTTAAATTTGAATTTATTATGCGATATTTATGCGACCGAAGGAGTGTTGTCGGAAAGATTTGATTTCGTTGTAGTTTAGTAGATGGGTAGTCTCCTGCCAGCATTTTCGACGGACCAAAATTTATTAAAATGCCAAATTTCTAATTGATAAGGGAAGGGAAGGAAAGGAAACAATAAGAACAAAAGGTCATCAATTTTTGCAAATTTAGTGAATAAAAGTTAGACATTGATTTAAAGATGATTTAATCCATTTGAAAGAAAGTTGTAAATCTGAAATTTTATGTATTTTGGTAAAGAGGATAAACAGGGTTTCATTTTGAAGACGGACCTTAATTGCAAATATGAATGTGTGGAAAATGTTAAATCTATATTATAATTCAGAATGTCTGTTTGTTACGAAAGTGGGTGGAGTTTGTGCGTGACGGAAGTTTGACGTGATTGGTCAAATCGGAGCGTAGCTCCACCTACTCCACCAGAAGTGCGGGGATATTGATGCGTTACGTTGAAGCCAACCCTCCACGCAAAACATGGTTGTCCACGACCGTCGTAAGACGGGCTTACTCGCTAGTACTAAATATTGTTAACATATGGCAGGTTGCTTTATTTATTTTCAAATTGTGGCAGCTTTGAACTCAAAGCTGTTTTAATGGGTAATTAGTGTTAATTTAAGCAAAAAGATGCATGGACAATGGATATTCACTATTTAGAAATGGAAAAACTGATCAGCGGTAAATTTTGATGTGATAAAATTTCGATTCAAATAATCCGATAGTTGATATTTAAATTTGCAGAATCGCAATATTTTCACGAATGACGGCATTTATTTTCATCTCTTCTTCACTAGGAAGTTCAGACGAGGTCGGGACGTTTCTCTGTGTGCACGAGGTACTGACTATCCGATAGAATCTATCGCCGTACGGTTATTTATTCCGACCTGGTATTGATTTAAAAACCCTGCTACATGTGTAAGTACACATTTAAATAAAAAATGCTGACGTTGACGCGTTCCTTAAAGTTTTTTATTTTTAGAACATAAATTTCTTAAGTGTCAAATGTTTAGGGTTAAAGGCAATAGAAAAACCAAACTAAGGTGGCCAGTCTGGAACATAGCTACCTTTTCTGAGAAGGTGTCTTTAAATAGGATTCGACCCTTCCTTCCAAACATTCCACAGGGCTAAACTTTACCACCTGTAGGATACAAAAAGTTACACGTTATTGAGAATTCTTGAAGTCGGTGGCTTTATTTTACTTTGTCAAAATTCCTGCCTTTCCTTTCTGACTCCGGAATTCTTTCGTGGTACATTGACCTCGCTGGTGTGCAATTAAATATTGAGATCAGCGCTTTAATTCTCTGAGTTAGTTTTAATTCCTTAACAGATCTACACTCTAACCTAAATCGATAACCCACGGTATAGATGTATGACTCTACCGAGTGGTAATGATTTGGTATTAGATCAATATTACATGGGTAAAGATCTAATACTTCTTAGTATTGCAATTATTACTACAAAGTATAATTTTAATACCGGTTTTATACATTATTTCATTTAAAATAAGAAATTTAAAACATTATTTCATTTAAAATAAGAAATTTAAAAATTAGAATGCACACTGAGAGAAATGTGGTTAGGATTACCACCAGAAAGTAGACGCATATGACTCTACCGCTATAATGATAATTTTCTTACCGATTGGTAATAAATTCGTTATCGATTGGTTTCAAAGATAGCCGCCTTGGTTCGAATTATAACCGGCTTATAAAGACGACCAGTGAGTGGTAAATTTATCACCATGGCGGTAGAGTCAAATACTTCTACAAATCCTACACTCACAGAAATATTAGTAAGATTTGTAGACATATATGACCCTACCGCCATGGTGATAAATTTACCACCCACTGGTCATTATTATAAGCAGTTTGGTTATAATTGAAACCCAGGCGGCTATGATTGTAACCATTCAGTTACAAATTTATAACCAAGCGGTGATGAAGTTTATCACCATTTCGGTAGAGTCATACACGTCTAAATCTGGTGATAATCATCACCCAATTTCTCTGAGTGTAGCAATATTTCTGTGAGTGTAGAAGTATAAAATTCTGTTTCTTCTCCATTCAAGCGCAAATTAAAAATACACCCAGAGAAATATTTTCAAGATTTGTAGACGTATATGACTCTACCGCCATGGTGATAAATTTACTACCGACTAGTTATCATTCTAACCAGACTGGTTATAGTTGAAACCAAGGCGGCTATGTTTGTAACCATTTGATTTCAAATTTATAACCTACCGGTGATGAAGTTTATCACCATTTCGGTAGAGTCATACACGTCTAAATCTGGTGATAATCATCACCCAATTTCTCTGAGTGTAATACAAAAA